CCATTGCTTCTTTCATGTGATGTCTTTTCCTCATCAGATATATATATGTTGAGACATGGGAGACAAAAGGTCAAAGTCCTGAAATTAACCACATCTAGATTTTGAAAAGACATTTGGAATAGTATTTCTGAAATTCACCAGTACTCTTCATGAATACAACCTTAAAGTCAGACTCACTATGAATTAATCTTTTTTTTAGAAAACATTTGGGTCTGAATTAATTTCAGTCATTTTCTGAGACTGCCAAAATCTTTTTGCTGCTCAGTCACATTTCCAAGTCCAGAGATGGGAGTATATTTTTATTTAACATCAAAATCAGTTCAGTTCAGTTGTTCAGTTGTGTCTGACTCTTTGCAACCCCATGGACTGCAGCATGCCGGGCTTCCCTGTCCATCACCAACTCCCGGAGCTTGCTCAAACTCATGTCCATCGAGTCGGTGATGCCATCCAACCATCTCATCCTCTGTCATCCCCTTCTCCTCCTGCCTTCAGTCTTTCCCAGCAACAGGGTCTTTTCCAAAGAGTCAGTTCTTCGCATCAGGTGGCCAAAGTATTGGAGTTTCAGCTTTCAGCATCAGTCCTTCCAATGCATATTCAGGACTGATTTCCTTTAGGATTGACTGGTTTGATCTCCTTGCTGTCCAGGGGACTCTAGACTAATCAGTACTCTTTTCTCTCTACCTTCCCTTGCAGGACAACTAAACTACCTCGGATCAAGCCACCAAATATGGCACATCCTTGCAGTAGTGATGTTATATTGGTGGCATCAGTCGACGGTGTATGTTATGCAGTATAGACACAGCAAACCCTGTCCTGACTATGTTTCACATTTGTGAATTCAGGTATGGCAGCCTGGGTGTATTCAGTTGTTAAGCAATATATAATGGGGAGCTCTAGACCCCACCATTTCTTAGATTCCCATTTGTTTTTCCTTTCCCTCTGATTGGGTAATATCATGAGTAATATTTTATAAATATGGAAAAATATACTTGGGGATCAGTAATAGTAACTGCTTCGTGGGCCCTTAAGACTACTAACTTGCTGCTTGTACAGAAAGTGAAAATTTTGGTTGGCATTCCCTAAGAATCATCTGAGTAACCTGAATGTGAAGCCAGTACTCCTTTTCTAAGCACCAGCTTAACTTCCTTAGGAAGAGTTCACCTCTGTTACAAAGTGGAGTTCTCCGGTGTGGTTCCTTTAACAGAAGACAGAGCAGATGATCACGTTTAAGTGCCTGATGAAGGCAGCGTTTGTGATGGCCTGTGCTCAAAGCAAGCTGATCGATTCTGAGTAATCACTGGCCTTTCCATGGCTGGTTTGTGAGAAACCACCACTTCAGATCTTAGTTCCTGTAGGTTCTCTTCTTAGGAGCGCTGGACTTTTTAGTTTGCTAGAACAAAACTTTAAAACCTCTTCTTCAAGTTGAGAGAGGTGTTGAGAAAGGGAAAAGAACTTTCATTGTCATTTCCCATCCGATAAAAATCATACTAAGAACCAATTACATGACAGGTGACAAATTCTGTGGTCTAATTACCAAGTTATTGGCCATTTAAGCTTTTTGGTTTCCAGTATTATGATTTAATCCCATATAGAAGAGTTGAGCTCCCGCCCATAGACGGCAGATTTGGGGCTCCAGAATTCCTATAACAGCAGACTTTCCACCTCTCTGCGTCTGCGGTCTTAATTTCTTGATGATGGGGATTCCCAGGTACATGGTGCTACTTTCAAGGCCACAGAATCCAGATGGCCCAGTTCTTGACACTGAAATGAACCTTAAGCCTTAGAACAAAGTCATGCAGATGCCCCATTTGATGACATGATTAATTCACCTGCGTTCTGACCTTTCTGTCTGTATGCATGTGTTAGTATTGCTCTGAGAACTCACAGTATTGAATACACTAGCTAACATTTGGGTCTGATACTTCATTGTATATATTAAAAAATAGATCTCGCTGCCCTGTACCATAACCTAGCACCCTTGTTTTCTGGTCTTCTCATATGCATAAGTTAAATCCCTTAAAGTAGTCATTCATAAAAACATGTTTTTTGGAATATAAAATATTATCCAAGTTTCTGAATGGGTTGACGTGAGCTGCTTTAATTACTGGTGTATATTCAAAACATTGGACTTTCTAAGTATCAGGAGGTATTGATTGATAGTGAAGTTTATTCCCAAAATGCCACTTAAACATTCAATATTTAGAATGTTACTTTAATGTGCCCTAGTTTATGCATCTGTAAAGTTTTGTATTTCTTTTCAGTGTAGTGTTGCTGGAAATATGAATTCCCCATGCTAGTATCTCAGCAAGGCGAATTCTCCCCCAGTAGACTAAGGGCACACCACTTTGAAAATGGCTATTTTAAAAGAACTGGCCAAAAGAAAATGGCCAGAAATTTGATCTGTATGCTTAGTGAAAGAAGATTTTGGTGAAATGATAATAGGATATATTTTCTCTAAAGCATCCCTATTGACTTACATGATACTATTGCTTTCAATAAATATTTTGTCATTTTTGCCAAACAGAATATACTGAGTAGTTATAATTAATTTAAAAATGAAGGAAAAGTCTATTTTAGGTCTGGCACCATTTTTAATTATAAAATCTCAAAAACATTAAAGTTTCATTTTTTTCCAATTTTTAGAAAAAGTCCTTTTTTTGTTATAGTGTATGAGTTATTCAATCCTTGACATCTGAATTAATCGATAAAAATGACCAATTTTAAGACTTCTTGAACTTAAAAAAAGCATACAGGTCTGACTGAAAGAACTAAATTATACCATTGTAAACATTTCATCTTTTCATGAAAATATTAAATATTGTAAGAAAGTTCTTTTTTATCTTTACTATGATGTACATATTATAAAGTAGGGAATGAATGAATGTGGATTGCTGTCAACTATAAGCACTTCTGTATATCAGCATTTATTGACCACCTACTGTGTGCACATCACTACTGGCAAAAATTTTAAGACATTGTTAACATTAAAGAATATTTAAAAATTGCCTATGAATCTGAGCCTTGTAATAATGTATATTTTTGTTTTTGTAGATTTATTAAAATAAGATTTTAAAAGTACACTATTCAGCTATAGTACTAAAGTACTAAAAAAGACTGCTTTTAATTTTACCAATGTATAAACTATAAAAGCTCTTTACCTGTAGACTTTACAAGTACATTTTAAAATTACTCATGGCTGTTTTAAATTGTCTATAGTGATTTGTAAGGTTGTAGTTAACTCATTTAAGGGGATTATCTTTCTACATAAAACTGCTTTCAAATAGCAAGATAGCGCTTGTCTACTTTGTTGTTACACTAAGAACAATTCAGTGAGCTGCATGGCAAAATGTGTATTATGTAAATAAACTGGGTTTATAAATATATAAGTGCTGTTTGTCTTTCTTTATAATACATAACAGCTTCACAATCATGTTTTAGAATCAGGAATGAAGCTTCAGGGAGTGTGTGTCACATCTTATGGCATCCTACCCGGACAGAGTAACCGATTTGAAGATTGGCATTGACTGGCATAAAGCTGTACAACTCTCCACTCGGCAGGTACCGACCTAGAGATATCTTTGCTTGCCCTGCATTAAGTATTAAGGGGCATAGCCTGCACGTCTAGATTCCTGGTGAGCCGAGTAGATCTGTATTCACTTGTAACGATCATTCTGGGCATTTGCACCCCTGCCAGAATCTATGCAATGAAGAGTCAGCTCAGCTCTTTGGGGAGGGGCAGAAGTGTCTTTTATGTATGTGCATTATCACAATAACTGTGTTTATACTGAAAAGAGGTACAGATGCAATTGGGTACCAACATCCCCTGAAATTCTTTACCATACTTGCTGAGTAGGAGAGCAAGAGAATGATCCCAAACTTGAAACTACCTTTGAGAAAACATTTTCAGGAAGAAGCAGTAACACTGTGGGCAGGGGTCTCTTGTGAACAGTGAAACTTCCATCCTTAGAGGGCAGGCATGATAGCCACTAAAGTCAAGTTATACTCTGCAAATCCTGGACAAAAACACTGCAGAGCACACATATAAATTGAGTCGTGTCAACAATATGAAGCAAAAGTGGACTGTCTTTTTAAATGTGCCAACGAAGGAAACTTCAAAAGCTCATGCTTTCAGTAGGAAAATATTAACTTCATCTTTCATACAATGCTGGAGTTGGACTTTCTTAAAACGAAATTAGCTTGCTCAAAGTAAACAGCTCTAACTGAAGCATATATTCTTCTCTAAAGTTAAAACTATAACCAAATTTGCACAGTGGCACAGTCCACACTAGGCATTTTATATAACTTATATGTGATATTTTGCTCCTTTGTACCATTAATTTATTAAAAAGAAACAGGGCCCTTATTTTTCCATATAACCTTAGATAAATGTTACAGTTTCTGGCGGGGGAACAAAGTGCATTTCTAACAAATAAGTTGAATCTTTCCACAAGCCACCAATCTGAAACTCCAGTTTGTGGACTAATACATAATATTGTGATCTCAACACCAAATTTAGTCCATCAATCCAATAAATAAGTTTTCTGTTTAACATGCCAAAGCCTCTCATCTGTAATCAAGTTATTTTTATTTAACTAAATACTTATTAACAGTGAAAAATGGTATCAGTTTTTAAAGAGTTTAAAAAGTAAATTTTATATAATGCGAAAACTATCTAAATATTCAAAAGTTACTTCAGAGTCTTATGTTTTTACCTTATCTTCATCACTGTAAGTGTCAGTAATTGTAATCCCTGAACAAACTGTATGATCGTTTTGGTTGCACAGATGCTAGGTCAAATGTAGAAACACAAAATGTATTTTCTTACTTAAATCCAAAACTGGGAGCTCCTTAGACCAGAGATCTAATCTCACTCATTTTTCTCTCCCATTAGCTCATGCATAATAGGTGCTTAAATGTCTGTGGTGTGAATGAAAGAACTGACTAGAAGTTGGCATCCAAAAGTTTTAATAAGACGACAAATAATGAAAAACTCAAAGTCACTGATTATAAAGAATATGCAATCCATTTGGGATTTATTGCATTTAAAGAAAGATTATTAAAACAGGTATGATAAATACAGTAAGAAAATAACTTTAAATTTCAAACAAAACAAAGTGAATGAGGGATAGGATTCAGTCAATAAGAATAAGCAATGTAAAGGCAATATAGTACTAAAATCAGTTAGTGCTTAATTAGATATAGGAAGGAGAAAAAAAAAAGCAACTGATTCTATTTCATGACAGTTTCCCAGCTGTATCTGAGGATTGAAGTTAACTTTAGAAAGTATGGTCTTAACAATTAGAAATATAATAAAGATGAAAATCAGGTTTATTAAAAGTTAAAGTTATTTGCTTAGTGGTACATAAAAGGCTTCAGAAAATTCAAGTTTAACAAAAAATGGAAGTGTAATCAAAGAAAGTGCACTTAAAGCTGTTTGCCAGCAATTAAAAAGTAGCCTATTATTATTACTATACTGCTTACTATTAGATGACTTTCAATCACAAAAAGAGCAGTCATAAAAACAATTCTCTTTCAAAAGTAGCACAATAAATTTTTAAATAAAAATAACCCCAAATGGTGGCCCTTTGCATTTTCATCTGTCTACCTTATTCTTTTTAGTGGCTTTTGTAAACCCTCACTAGGAGTGAATGTTCTTTTAGCAATGATTGTGGTTGCAATTTTATTCAAAATGTAAAAATTCACATTAACTCCACACTAGAGAGATGTGACATGTGCATGCAAGTGTGGGTTTATCTATTTACCCTAATGTATAAACCCCACTGTGTATAAAAGTTTTCATATAAACTATCATTATGTTATTCTCACAGTAGATCTGTCAGCTCATTCTCACAGTAGATCTGTCAGCTCAACATTGGACCTAAAATGATAAGTAATTTTGCTTAAAAAAAAAAAAAAGTTTACTGCACAGTCTACATATATTAAAACAAATGTACCCAAACTCCTCAGAACCAGTGATACGAATACACGTGTACCTTCTCGCAATGCTGATATGAAGTACCACAACCTAAAATAAGCCAAGCAGAGAGGAGGAAAGGGCTCTGCCTGTTGAACCCCAGAGTAGAGGAGGGGACACCAGCTTAGGGTCCCTGTCACACGATAAACAGGGGAGGGTCCAAAGCTGCTTCTGTCTACAATTCCAAATAATGGCATAACTAGGCCCGAGCATGCACGCACGCACGCACACACACAGACATATACACACGCGGGGTGGAGGTCACATCAGTGGAAGAAGCACATACACACACACACATACACGGCGGAGGTCACATCAGTGGAAGAATCACACTTTCCTGATGGATACTTCTGAATATTCTAGTCAGTTTCACCCAGCCCACCACCTTTCCTCCTCCACCTAAAACATATATACCAAGCAACTTTTGTGTCCTAGCAGAATGTCTTACATTCCTCAGTGCCATAGAAGCTGGTCTTTTCAACACTTAACATTTTGCTGAAGTGGTAACATTAAAATAATTAAGCAAATGGTCCGCTTTTTAAAAGATAATTCAAAACCAAGAAGCATGATTAAAGCTGTTAGGACAGAAATAACTTTGGCCTCAGACTTTCGCTAGCTTTGTAATATTTCACTTCCCTTTGTGATGTTCAAGTATTACAGGTTTAGAGTTGTGACGACTTTACTTGCTAGAGAAGCACAGACGACAACTGATTAATAGACATGATTTCTTTTCAGCATTCCTTCCTCATACAAGAATTGGACCATCACATAACAGAGCCAAACCGAGCGCTGTGTGCCAAATATGCATTAAGCTCTTTCAACACATCTTGGGAGCTTTATTCTCATAATTCTCACAAGGGAATTAGCAGGGCATCAGCTGTGTAGAGTGACCTACAGTCTAACAGTAGTGGGAAAACATGATGGGAAATGGAAAGCGACCCTAATCCTATACTCCTTGGGAAAATTCCTCCACTTGAACACAAAGGAATCTCCCCATTTCTATCCCATTGGGTCCACTATAAGTACTAAATGTTTCCTCTCGGCTGTAATCTCAAGAGGAAAGTCATTGTGATATAACAAACACATGACTGTCAGTATTTTAACACAATGTCGAAGTGTTTCCTTAGAATGTACCCAGCGTCATAAGCCAGAGTGTCTGTCAGCGTCTAAATCATTTAAAGTTACTCGGTGTATTGAAAACAAGTGTAAGCAAAGGCTTGGTATCTGACAGGCTCTAGGAATTTCATATTTACATCCCAAGGGGACCACACTAATTCATCTGTACCCCTTCTAAATTATGAAACTCATGAGGTCTAGCAGAGACAAAGGCTAATAGGGACTAAAATAGTCAAAGAAGCATCTTGTGTATACATCAACCAACGGAGTTTCATTAACAGATTGTTTGATACAAACCTACTGTAGTTCATGAATTGACTATGTATAATCATCAACTCTTCACTTTTAAAAGAAAGTATTACTTGAATCTACTTTGTAAAGTTTTAAAGAACATCTACTTGAGCATTTGCATTAGCAGTATTAATCAACCTGAGAATCAGAAAGAAAAAAAAAGGTGCAAACATAACATTTGCCTTTGGCACAAGGACAAGTAAAACTGGTGCGGCTGGGCTCTAACATTTACACAGTAATGACTGTCATGACTGATCTGTCTCTGCTACACATCATTCACATATTGCTTCCCTGTTTGTCCACAAATCTGTATCTGATTTAAAACAAAAGAGAGAAGCAAGAAAACATAGACCGTTTAGTTACAGATATTTTGTTTTTTTCCAAGTTTAGAACTATGAAAACAGGCAAATAGCTCATCCCAGTTGGGGCACTATAATTGAGATTCTAATAAGATTACTGATGAAATAGATTTTAATTGGGCTTAAAGCGTTAATTTAAAATACAGCAATCAAGGAGAGTGCCAGCTGATAGGAGTTTCTACCCTTTTCTGTAAATAACTTTAATGGTTCTAGAAACTTCTAAATGTTCACTTGCAAGGCAGGGACAGTTAACTGTAACTTAAAATGGAGACATAGGAGAAACAGACTGTATTCACATTAATGATTTCTACCTTATTAATTTCTATAAAATCTCAAGTTTCTGATTAGGATTTGTGATGTAAAAATCAAAAGGCAATTTGGTAGCTGGGTTCTTTTCACTAAAGACACTATCAGCTAACTAGCAGAGTTGAGATGCTAGCCCCTCATCACCTTGACACCTTACAGCCAGTCTCAGATCTTGGGTAATAGTGCAGAGGTACTTGCGGCAGGATGTGCAAGGCCTGCCCGTAAGGCTTTGTGGGATTCGCTCTTCTGTCCTCTTTATTAAAACTACTCCACCCTTCAGACCTAACTCCAAAACTGCTGCTCACCAGACGACTTGGGGAATAGTTGGTGAAGGTGGTTATTTAATAAAGCACATTATTAAATGCAACATGATTTTACATTGTAAACGTCTCAGAAACTCAGGGTTTAGCTACATATTTTTCCCTAGAATATTTCTCTATGACCTTTGTCCTCACTCCCAGTTTTCCCAACAATCTGTCTTACTAGAGGCATGATAAAAGGTCTGAGCTAGAAGCCATTCAAAATCAGAACATAAAGTGTTCCTGAACACTACTGAGCATTGTTTCCCCTCCTCTGTATCATTCCTTTTTTCTCTCTGCTTGTCCACCCATCAGCTAGCTATCTCTAGTTTTTGTTCTAGGCTTCTATGCAATAGTCCATATTAATGGCACTTGTTTTTTTTTAATGAAAACAGTTTTAGGCACAACAGTCAAGTGACTTCTGGCTCCTCTTTGTAGAGACAGGTGTAAGGACAAAAATCTCTGCACTCTCCGAATAACTTTCTCATTCTTTATGAGAAATTGATATATATATATATATATATATATATTTTTTTTTAACCACGTGGCTTAGAAGAGATTTTTTTTTTTTTTTAAATCCACAAATGCAATTTGTGTATATACAAGCAGCCTTAGTTTTAAATGCTAGATTCTGGAATGAGCCTGGGACGTGTGCACAAAAGTGACCTTCTCTTATAAAAATAACGCCACAGCTCCCGGCCCCTTTTCGGGGGCCACACGCCTTCCCTAGACTTCTGTGCCGTCAGGTGGGTAGCTGAAACCACAGGTTAGAACCTGCCACCTTCGCTTACTTTGTGCCTGCGTGGAAGAGACGTGGAGTCATTACCCTGTGCAGATACTTCCTTTTTCTATTTGGTTTATTTAAAAATCGCCTATTCTGATTGACCTGTAAGAATGAATGATATAAAGAGCTATACAAATAAATCTTCTTTCAAATTCATAAAACTATTCACACTTTTTTTTCTTTGAAACAGGAGTTAATACCACGAGTCCGTCAGAAGTCCTCTACTGTTTAGAAGGAAACGGAGCAGCACCGAAGGGGTCTAATTCGACGGGCTGGGGCTGTTGGGGCTGATGGGAGGTGATGCTCTGCACCACGAGTTCTGTGAAGGGCACGGCACCAAAATCATCCATTTTCAACGCCTCTGCCCCGTGGAAGGAGCCGTGCAGTGAATTCGGCCGGGGCCTCCCGGGCAGGACCGGGTTGTGGTCAGCGCTCAGGCCCTGGTGCGGGGAGTGCCACGGCAGGTCCGGAGGGTGGAAGGGCTTGGCCCCGAAGGGGTCCAGCAGACCCTCGTCGGCTTGCAGGACGTGCCCGCGGTCCTTCCCGTCGGTCAGGGCCACGCTGATGTTCTCCTTGGAGTCCGAGATGGTCAGGAACTCGTTGCTGCTCTGCGAGTCCCGGCGGCCCACCCTCCTGTGCCGGCGGGCCCGCTCGGGGGTGCGGAAGGCGGGCTTGGCCGGCTTCTTGGCGCCGGTCGGGGTGCCGTGATGCCGCTTCCCGTTGCTCTTGGCCGCGTCCTGCTTGGTGCGCCTCTGCCGAGAGGACAGTTTCTGCAGGCTGCGCTGCTTGACTTTCTGCTGCGGACTCCCAGTTATCTCCTCGAAGGGCACCAGCCCGAAAAGGTCCTCGCCGCTGTCGCTTTTACTGGCGGACGGAGGGAAGGGCTGGAACGGCGTGGAGCCAAAGACATCCACGCTGGGGGGGCCAGCCGGGGCGGCGTGCGCATCGCGCGCCATCACCTTCTTGCTGAAGGGCGCCTTGGTGAAGACATCGAATTCCTCCTGCTCCAGCCCCGCGGTGGGAAGCCGGCTCTGCGGAGGGAGGTCCTTCCGCTCCCCCTGTCGGGGCTGCTGAGCCCGCGCTGCGAAGAAGGGGACTGCGCCAAAGACATCAAACTCGGGTCTGGGAGTCCCCGCTCCCGCGCCCGAGGGCGCGCGGGCGGGCGTGAGGAGTGCTGCGCCGGGGCCCTGGACCGCTCCCGCGCCGGCTGCATCCCTGCAGCCCGGGCTCGCGTCGCCGTCCTTTGCTTTGGCCTGCTCGTAGTCCGAGTCTGAGCTCTGCTTCTCCTCCTCTTCCTCGTCTTCTGAATCCATGAGCAGCGGCCTGTGCCCCAGGTGTTCCGGTTCCGTGTCGTCGTCGTTAAAATCTCCTTGTTCTCCCTGGAGAACCTCCTCATCCTCTTGCTCCTCCTCCTCGCTGCTCTTGGGAGAAGGGGGATCGGACTCAAAGTCACTCTCAGATTCGTCGTTCCCCTTTTGCACTTGAGCACGTGCTAATGAATTCTCTGAGCTTTTCTTTCCAGTCCGGTGGTCTTTAGAAACTGGACTTCCTTTTGTATTCTTGATAGGGTTTGCAGTGCCATTTTCTTGATTCATGGAGGGATGTTCAATTTTCTTTTCAGGAGAACCTGCCAGTTCAAACAAAAATTGTATCATCTCAGTGCATCTCAAAAATCATTTGCTGTAAACATCATGTACTAATACAAAGCCTTACAGATCGCTCATATCAGTTCCCTTACAGAAGACTTACTGGCAGTTCTTGGTCATTAGTCTTGGGGGGGG